AAGATTATGAGACTTGCTCCTGGGGATCTGGTAGCAGTAACTTATCTGTTACTATTGATTGGAGTCGAGAAGGTAAATTTGGAATTACAGGACTTTATATACGTTTCTTTAATTAAAGTACAAAGATTGTTTCAAATGCAATACATATTTATAAGCTGCCTTATAAATAAATGATTGTATCGCATTGAGGCATGTAAATTGAGGATCGTTTCTGCATAATACCGTAGGTGAGGCACCGGAAGTGGCTGAATGCAATGGTAAGTTCCGGATTTGTTATACATGCCATTTTTTTACGCAAATTCAAGCACATTTTGATTAACTAAATATTAGCTTGCTGCAATCCAATAAATTGTACAGATGTTTTGTATAAGATCTAAGGCTATACACCTCATTAGATTTACTTCCAAAGTTCTGTTTACCGGCTTCTTCCCTTTCATTATGCATTACCCTTTTACTTATCCTACATCCATCAACCTTGGACAATATTTCAATTTCTTGACAATCTGAAACCCTACTTTTCATGATTTTATGTAACTATTTCACCTGCCTGCTCAACAACCCTAACGCTTTTTTGGATGATTAGCTATCTTCCTGTTTATGTACGCACTGTCTGATGAAATGTGTCGCAGTGGAACACTTTCCAAATTACTATTAAACCTCTTTTCAATTATATCCATTTTATTCATGCATATTTTTGTGATGCAAAAGTTTCTGAACGATTATGAAGCTATTTAACAAGCCTAAGCGGTCATTTAGAGCCTTAACTTCTACCTTTTGTAAGGAATCATAAATAGTGTAACAAACTTGCATGACAATATGCTACATCTTAAAGAATCAGGCTCTATTCACAGCCAAGTAAAAAGTACCCACCTTCCAAATAAACATTTCAACCCTGCATAAGTGAGTAAAAGGTTGCAAATTAAAAGGCCAAAAGAGAAATAAATTTCTAAAACAAAGTGTCTAAAATATACCTCATTATCAACTCATCAAATCGTGTAACCTAGCACTAATAAATTATTATAATTGATGTTCAGTTCCATACAAAGGCACTCAGCAAATTCCCAAATGGCTATAGTGTTTTTATAGCCTCAAAATCAAGTAGTAATATTATGTGTTTGGCGTGTTTCTTGATTACAATTGTGATATTTTTAGGTGTCTTTTGCTTAAACATTATTTACATTTGAGTATGCAATTACTTACGTTTAATAATAAGATAAAGGGGTGAAAGGATGCGAAACACATGCTTGCACAGTTACCATCACATAAAATATTCTAGGTTTTTCCTAGCAGAATATAAACTGGCAGACATTTCCAAAAAATCACATTGTCATTATTACAGGCAAGTTATTTTGAGTAATGAAACATGTTTTGAGTAGCATGTTCCTTAAAACACTGTCTTAGTAGCCTTGACGAAGGCGAAATCAAAGACTGAATTATACGTATCACTTATGTTTGGCACTGTTACCTGTATAGCATAGTAACTTGAAGTAATGAGGAAGCTAGCTGAACAGCAAGAAGATTAAATATCCCGTTGTCCGGGTAAAGAATATATTTTTTATTATGGATAGGATCTTTTTTGGTGCAGAGGGTGTACATGCAGTGAAATAAAATCCAATTCTACTCTAAGGGTCTACCATCTATCAAAACATACTAACGGCCGTGTTTGAACTGACCTACAAATGCCTTGTTATGATGTGGTCCCGTGTGCGGCGCTTTAGCCAAATGACACATCTCAAACTTTTTATGACCAGCAAATTCCATTATTTTCCTTGATCAAGATATTTAAACTAAGAACAGGAGGAAATTTAGGGATAAATCAGTGTCTTATGGCAAAAATATATGAAAGCATGGCCCTTTACTTTAAGTCAGAGTGTGCATGAAGACAGATATTTCAGTGCAGGAAAGTAAACCAAGTAGGCGGTACAATTAAATACTCGGCAATCTCTGATTTAAGCACGTAAGTTTGCATGGTTAGAGCAAGTAAATGAGGCAGTTTCCATATGCACAAGCATGTATTCTTGCACAAGAGGACCTGTGAGCTATCAAGAATGTACAACCAATTTTAGCGTAAAAGAAGCTTTATTATGTGACCTCAAATATAGTAATAAGCAAAAAATGAGGTGGAATTCATTTAGTTTACATAAAATCTAGTGATGAAATATATGAGATCATTCATAAACTTAGTCCCACACTACTTGGATGCATCTATTGTAAATACAGTGACGTTTTCGTAGAAAGTCGTTTCAAAGCAAACTCCATTGCAATGCTTGCTAAAATTTTCACCAGCAACAAAATGGTCCACTTGAATGTTCATTATTGACAAAAATGAGATGAATGTACAAATGAAAATGAGTACGGACGTACACTTAGTAATAACACTTTTATTCAAAGTTTACACGATGACATTTGAAAAGGGTGTAATAGTAGGAAAACTAGTCCTTTTCCTTTGGTTTGAAATAAGAAGGGTGAGCAGACACTACAATCGGTAGCTGAACACCGCCAATTCTGCTTGCGAATTTCCTTTCTGCCCATTGCTAAAACAACCCCACATGTAAAATTCTTTTTTGAAACTACAGCCCAATTTGGTTTTCTGAAACAGCGTGTACAAACAGATCGCCACAAAAATACCTATTCATAATGACAGTACAACATGAGGGAATTACTGATCAAATTTGATGCTCTCATTGTTTTTCAGCAAATTATTGGCTGGAAATATTAAACAGTGTAGGGGAATAATATATTTGTGTGTTATACTAATAAAGTCAATTAAACCTTCCGCATTTTGACGAAACTTAGACGCAGCACCCCGTGTTTGTAAGCTGGCTTTCCCCACTTTTAATTTGCTTCTGTAAATATAAGCTCACCAGTCGAAGAGTGTTTAAATGAATCATGCACAATCCTTTACAATCATCAGAGCAAACCTGTACTTTTTGCGACAGAAATAAAACAATTTTAATCTTTTCTTTTAATGCCGAATCGATCATTAAAATTGGTTTTCTTTGAATGCTCTGACAGAATTTCGAGTCAAATTTTTACAATGCGCAAAATTCAAAGTACCTTTTATTTCCTCTACCGCCCAAGGAAAACACACCAAACTTTTTATAATTGGCTTAATACAGAAAATTACAAGACTATTTTACTCAAATCTGCTAAATGCTTAGTGCTAAATCTGCAGCAATTTTTCACACATTTGCAGCAGATTTGAACATAACCGTGTGAATGACATCGGGCAAAAACCTAAGGAGTAGCATGACCTCATTTGCTACCAAGTCTCATCCAAAATTTTTGGCGATATTTTATGCAAACAGACAGCATACTTTGCGCAAATAAGTAGGCTATTTAATCATCATATTTCTCAAAATTTTAAACTTAGTTTATCCGCTTTCAGTGCTTGGAATGCAAATCCCTGGTAAGTTAGGAGAAAACTTTAATTAATATAGATAATGCAGTGATCCATTTTTGTCAATTAATAGGCACAAAACATAGAGTCTTACATCAATCGAAAAATGTGCAATAAACGTATGCGGTGATTCATAACTACATCTAGTATATTTTTAGGTAAATGGGACCTTACTGTGCTTAGCTTCAGGACACATATTTTGCAAAGTAGCACTTTTATGGCAAATTCGGAACTGTGGAATATATTCTCGGTATTTCGTCTCAATTTAAGGCACTGAGCCTCCCAAAGCAAATACGCTATAAGATGCAATCAAATCCAATCTAGGCATCAACTTTTATCTCCAACAAATTGTAGCCATTTAAAAAGGCCTTTCGTAAAGTTGCAGTTAAATATTATTTTGTTTAGGACCCTAGAATATTTATACCTACTCAAAATTGACATTTACAAAAGAGAAGTATGCTATTTTGCAAATCAAATGATAAAATGGTTAGAAGGAATCAGAATGACAGGTGCCATACTAGGTATAATGAAAATGTTTTTTACGCTGTCGGATGCTTTCGATTCTGCTGCAGTTATTAAAGGGTTGTGGTGACAACGACAGTGGGAGTATGAAGGTCTTATTACAATTTGTTCTTGCAAGTACCATGGCAGATGTGGTTGATGTTCTTCTCAACACTTTAGTTATTGTTTATCGTTTCGTGAGTTCATTAGGCTCACTCTCAGCGCCCACATATACCTGTGCAGGAAACACAGACATGAAGGAGCTTCGTGAAGATAGTTACCGAATTTCACTATTCTAAGATAATAAATGTTTAACCGATGAAATGATTGTAGCAAAACCATTGTTTATTAACTTATCTGATAGAAAAGGGCCACCTTTGGGCGGTTAATTAAATTCAATCAGTGGCCTGCTTTTTGGTACACATAACCAGGATGAAAAAGGCGCTATGAACATTCTTAGTGTTTGGGAGTAACAAAGCCTTTCCGGTTTCTTGCAAAGCTAAATATTGAAATGCAATGATTTGTGCACTCTTGCGGCAAAGCAAATCTTCTTTAAGGTCATAAAAAGCTAAAGTACTATGTGTAAACATACATTGCTAATGTACAGAAGTGTTAGGAAGTCACTGTCATGTCATGATGGACACTACACATTATAGGAGCGAAGTATCGAGAGAATTAATTAACTACCTAGCCCAAACCTTGGGCAGAAATTACAGTGACAATGAAAAAGAAAAAAAACAGTTTGTGGCCTTCTATTTAAAAGAGCAATAATTTTATGCTTCATTTCTAATTAAAATTAGTAAAAAACTTTCCATGCCACAAAATGGCTTATTTTATTCCCAACACCTATGCACAACATTGCAAACAAAGGGCCCATGTAAAAATAAGGGCAAAATTATGTGGTAAAAGAAGAATAAGTCTTCATACGGAAACAATGTAAGTGAGTGGACAACCGAGGGTAAATGGTGTACACGTAACTATGCAGGCAGTTTACTCACTGTAGGCTGCTATTGTGTTTTCAATAAACCCAATCTACCATGCATATAGACTGCTAGTGTTTCCATCCATCACTACCAAATTGCCTTTGCGGTAATTTTAAATATTAGGCCTTCTAGGTAGGCTCAGCTTATTGCCCGAATATGGCAGCAATGACTCTTGGACATTGGATAGTCTCGATGTCTCAGGGGAGGTATAATGAAGAGGTTAAAGTAAAAACATGCTCAAGCGGTGACACACCCTAGAACTTACGCATTTGCTTTAAAAATCAAAATTTGGCAAGCAACAAAATTTGCCTCCAGCCTGTATTTGCTTGGATGAGAT